CCCGTTTCATGGTTCTTGAAAAGTATTTTTTTTTTATATATAAAAAAACCAACCATGTCAATTCCGGCATTAATGGAAGCTTCAATAGAGTAACTGTAGTTTGCTTTGGGTGGAGTTGTGATCCTATCGATCCCTTCCCAATCAGAGATAACAATGCCTTGGAATTTGAGTGTGTTCTTAAGGTAATCAGTGATCATTGCTTTGTTTGTGTGCATCTTAACACCGTTAAGACTAGAATAAGAAGCCATGATTGATGCGATCCCTTTCTTGACCGCAATCTCAAACGGAGGCATATGGATACCAAAGAGAGTAGCATCATCAGCCACAGTGTTGTTCTCATTGATTCCACCTACCGTTCCTCCATCCCCAACAAAATGTTTGGCGCAACCAGCCACATTAGTCCTGACCACGTAGAAAACACATTTTCCATATTATTTAGCTTTAGTGTCTTCGTGTCTACGAAATTTCCACATTAGTTATTATAGTGATCAAGATCATTAAAGAATTAGATTCAGAACTAAGCATTATTAATTTCTTGGTTACTTGACATCAGCGATGTAAGGAGCATTCCCTTGTAATCCATCAATGATACTTTCGGTCATCATATTCACAACCTTAGGATCTTCACTATAGCTTTCATAACACCTTCCCCATCTAGGATCTCTGCAAACCTATTTCATCCAATTTATCAACCCGAGTTAGAAAATATCTTTTTGCGTATAACTACGAAATTTCATTTTTTTTTTTTGTAAGCTTGATTAATTACCGCAACACAAGGCGCAAAAGCTTGCGCGATTCCTGTTGCCTTTACTTCAAGTGCGGTTATAGCTCCAATCTTTTTGATAAGTTGAGGATCCCTAAAACAACACACATCGACAACCACCAAACATATTAGTACGTATCCAATTAGGTATGAAATGGAAGCCTATAGAAAATCAATATATAAGTTATGTTTCATCTAAGTATATATTACCTAGTGGCACCAAGACCGACGTTATGTGGGAAAATGGTGGCATTGATAAAAGTGTTGTGGCCATGAACGGCATCAATAGAGTAAAGCATAGGGATTCCAAGCCTCGTTGAAAGACTCAATTTTTGCATAGTGTTCGACGTGAGAACTCGCTTTAGCTGACTAGCACCGGTATCATAAGGGTTGCTCAAAACACTTCCTATACTCATCAATTACAATAAATTCATTATTCGAAAAAAATTCGATATATAACAAACAATGTCGTTGTTTGTACATACCGATCATGTACTTTGTGAAGATTTCTTGACCCGTGGGGAAGAATGAGAAGTTGAATCGATCAACTTGACACATTTGACCAAGTTTCTCCGGTAATGTCATTCGTATTAACAAATCTTCCACTCTCTCTTCCACCGGCGCTTTTGGATCTTTGTATTTGATGTAACCTCCGGTGGCTTCGGCAGCGCCTCCATAACGGCCGGCGAACAATATCACAATCGCTGCCGAGAGGAAAAAGCTCCTGACGCCGTATATTGTCGCCGCCATTAATGGAGACCCTCCTTAATTTTCAGAATATTTTTGTTTAGAAAATATTTTGATAAATGAAAGTAAACAAGGGCAGAGATTTTATAGTATTTTTTTTTAATTTTAAAAAGCCGTTATTTAATCCCAAACGGTTAAAAATATTTAGCGACCATCATTTGTTGGCAACTTGGCACTCTAAATTTACAACAAATAAAACGAACAAATTATATATTTTAATCCGAACGGTTGTGAGTGTGACCTTCTTAATCACTCCATCCATCAACGACTTACCGTTACGAAAACAAAATACCCGTAATTTAGGCCGTAATATTTTGTTGGGCTTAATGGGCTTTTAGATTATTTGGGCCCAATTGATTTTCAGACATGAAAAAACGAATCTTCTTAAGAGTGTTGTTACCACTACTACTGATACGCGTCCAGACAGGCAGGCATGTTCTGTCTGACATTTTGCAAAATTTCAAATATTACTTTATCAATTAAATATATTATTTTTGCTTCTTTAATCCAAATTTAAATCTTCATTTAATGATGTTTTCTTTTTTTGAAGCTTTTTTAAATCTCTTCGTTGATCCTTCCTTTCACGAGGTTGAAATTCCAAAAACGCGTATAATAATCTTTTTTGTCGTGATTACAAATTACAAACACACCAAGAATCAAAATTTCCTTAAGATTTTCTTCTTTAATTTCCCTTGATTCTCTCTAGATTTCGTTTTTGTGTCTGAATCCAGACCAGATCTGTGTGTGTCTCGAACCAGAAG